ACTTCGTGAGTACGCACAATAAAATGTTTAAAAGAAGCGACTCTCAACTCTCTCATGGCCTATATAACTGGATATTTAAAATGACACCAGTTCTCGACCGCCAAATTACATGCAAAAATTGCACGATCGAGGCATATAAAACCTGACCCTTTCAAGTTTCTTAAGGCTGGGCGTTATAGCGTGTGAAATTAAAAGCCCAATCCAACCCTTTAAGATACCTACAGATGTGCTCATTTAAAGTTAATTCTGCATCTTGTTTCGTGCGGTTGAAGAAAGAACATTGCTAGGGGAACGTGGTTTAGGTAAAAATTAGGCATGGCAATTAGGAATTAGGGTGTGGAACCGTATGCCTTTTTCTTCCCGGGGATAAAAGGGTATTACGTAACATCTTGTATCCTTGTACAAATATGATAGGTCCTTCATAATAGGAAAGTATCTGAACACATTTCAAGGACTGGTTCCTTAAACAAGTTTTAGGCGAAAAGTTTAGTAGACGTAAGTTCCGTTGTGCGTCATTTTCAAGATACTTGCCACGCCAACTGGTAAGGTAGTATTGTAAATGCCAATATTGAATATATAATAAATTAGTAAACTGACACTTGATGCTTCGAAGACATAGTTCATGGCAATAGGTTTGTGGCACCATAATGTCAATACCATAGACACAGTAAAATCTTTGAGTATCGGTATTGATACACACATGACTTGGGAGGAACATGTAAACAATATTTTCAGGGAGTTATCTGAAAAGCTTAGTTAGCAGTGGTACATTATGAGGTAACTGTAGGAAAATAAATATTCATTATTCAGAAGCTATCAGAACCATGATCGATTTAGAATATTACGACTCTTTTAGATATCACATAAAAATTTTTGAAATAACGCCTGTTCCAACATTATTTATATACGTATATGCCACGTCAGTAGATATACATAAAAATATAAAAAAACTAAGCCACAAATTCTAACTTCCACAGTCACCAGACTAGAACATCTGTGACTTGAGGACACTCAAATTCCTACTATCGATATCAAAGCAGAATTTCTGACGTTCAGATCTGTACAATCATCTACCAACAAGTATTCGTCAACTTAACACAGTTAAGTTTAAACATCTTTTAACGAAGTTCATGGCTGAACATTATTTTTATTCCATAAGTGCATATTTTAGTTCAAAATTTTAGTCAGAGAAGTATGCGAATTTTTATATCTAGGCCTGTGAATTGAGCGCTGAGACTGATTTTTTTAATTCCTTCATTCAAATATGATAACAATTTCATATTGTCACCGTCAAAATAACTCAGAGCTGGAGACGGTGCCACTCCGCATAGCAATGATGGAACTCCGATAATGCAATAGCATTCAGCTGATCGGTTACAGCCGTTTGAATGTTTTCGACTGTCTCAAAAGGAGCATTATCGTGTTGCAACATCCAGTTGTTCTTGATCTGATGAACGGTGGCGTGAGTCAAATTTAACTCTTCCTCGATCATTCTGATTGTGAACCGACGATCGGAACGCACAAGATCTCGGATTCTGTTAATATTTCTATCGATTCTTGAAGATTTCCGCTTCGTGGTTCATCTTCATTCGATTCTCTCCCTGAAAATGCCTTACACCACCGAAAAACCGGGGCTCTTGACAAAACACTATTTCCATAGGTCTGCTGAAGTTTAGCAAGAGTTTCCATTGCACTGTGCCCAAGTCTGAAATAAAACCTGATACCATACCGTTGCTCAAAATTGATGTCATTCATTTTTTCTCCCAACGGAAGCACTTATACAACTGTCGTTTAGTAATATTTTAAGACATGCATATTGGTTTAAAAGGTTTTATCAACTGTTCAAATAGGAGATATAGATCTGGTAGAAATTCTGGGTAAATCATTCGACTCTGTCCGTATTTCATTTTAGAGATCTGTCAAATTGTTGTACAACACTTGCAGACAACACCAAAATATTCTAATAAACCAAAGACAACATGGACGATGCCATGATTATACATAACCACCCGCCATATTGGGCAAAAATATATTCCTTTATTGAAAGTTAATTAATTATGTTTCAGTTCGACATTACAGATATAAAGTGATAAACATTAGTGTAATTGTGGTAAATGTAAACATACTTTTGATCATTATTAAAATATGAATCAAATACGAAGCCCGTACAAATTGCGTAACTACTTTGCACGATAATCACGATAAAATTTGGTGCGCAAGTAATTCAATAACCCTATATCACCGTGTAGAAGTTTATCATATACCTGTGTATGAAATTCACAATGGCCGATATGTAAGTAAACAACATGTAATGTGTTATACAATACATAAGAAATATTTTGGTTGCAATAAAGTAGAATCATGTAACAGAATAGTTGTATAGTTGACAAAAACTGAATCTTGCACCCACGCAAATGCTCTATAGCGGCTGGAAGAGGTTTACACTTTTGTTGTATAGCTGTTACCTGCAGCCCTTAAACAACCTCTTAAATGACTGAAGTGTCCTATTAGGTGTGCCCATTCCGTTTGTATAGCTGTTCTAAGAGCGTTTGGCCAATGTTCTTACAGCATATAATGCTGTGTAAGGAAGACTGTATAATAGTTCTTGCAACTCTAATAGGAGTGATAATTGTTAGTTGGGTAGATACATACATACAGGTCAAGCTAATAAAAGCGAGTTAAAAACAAAAAAATCGCTACGGACAGCTAAATGACTCGAGCGAGTTAAAACTTGTACTTAAGATGGATCACATGTTCCCCTGTCTCCCCACGAAACCCGGCGCCCAAGTGCTGCCAGATGGAACGTTACCTTGCCAGTTTCATCGCTTAATTCTCAGACATCTTACTATATGTATATTTAGTCTCCCACCTACACCTGCTGGAGGTTGACTATTCGCTTTGCGGGCTTCAACAAATTTCCCAAGATATCACAAGCAGACCCCCTCCCCCCCTTCATATAAACTAATAACCATGTGTATTCCCAATCAGATCATATCTGCCTGGAATTCAGGAGTAAATATACGAAAAATACATCAACCGTGTTCTAACGGATTACAGCAATCGGCAAAAATACTGTCATTTACACAAAATTGATGTGATCTGATAACATTCGCGTTTATCTTTCGCTCTATACGTATTTGTATCGACTCAAGAGAAACGCGCAATGATCTGTGAAATAACTATTACATACCGAAACTAGGACTTGAACATTTTGTTAGGGTGAGGATTGATGGATAATGTTATTATGAGACTTTAAAACGCCCTTGTGTGCCATTTTCTACTGCACGCGAAAGAGATTTCACATTTGCCGTAATACAGATGCTATTAAATCACGATAGAATCTCATCTTGTTATTTTGGCAGTTATGGATTTTGGTTAACAAAAATTATCGGAATAAGAGCGCAACGTGATAATAATAAGAAATTTATTCATCCTGTAGATGTTAAAAAGATGTTGGACATGTCATTTGATGATTAAAAACTGCGGTTGAGATAATATAAAAATATAGTTCAAATAAAACACAACATACACAATGATAAAATCGATGATCATTAAAAAGTATAACAGATTAAAATTTTAAGAATTCATGCGTAGAAGCCTCTAGAAGAAGCTCTCTTAGTGACCTCTTAAAGCTAGTTTCATCACTAATGGATTTCAGAGAATTAAATAAAGAGTTGAAGAGCCTTACTATTAATGAGTTGCTCTTGCAAAATGATGTGAACTCGGTTGCTATTATTGTCATTTTGTGTTCCTCGACTATCTCCGCATCAACACCTATAGTGGTATCAGTCAGCATTATTGGCTGTGATATAAGATTTTGAATAATATAAAAAATAAAGAGCTCAAAATGGATCCTTGAGGCACACCTAGGATCAAATAGTATTCCTCTGTATTATAATTGTTTGAGTATTCTATAAATTTTCTGTTAGAAAGGTATGTATTACGTCATAGTAGTAGTAGTAGTAGTAATATTTCGCCATATTTAATGATAATAGGATTTAATTGCAGCTGTCAGTTCAAAAACCTAATAAGACAACACACACAAATTTAGTAATACATAAAAAGCAGATGCAAAAAGGACTAGTAAGCAGCCTATGACTGATCAAGGCACCAGCCCTGTGCCCACGTCATTCACAAAGCGAGTATGAACTGCTTCAATTGAACGTTAAAAAATATTAAATCTCCTTGCTCCAACATATTAACCCAGCATCTTTTACGTAACTGCAAAATGTCAGTTTGGAACTAGTTATCATTCATTTCATGTTCACTTGTAGTAGCAGTGTGTATTGCCTAAACGTCAACATACTTGAGCTGTGCGCTGTGGCTCCGATGTGATCTAACATCTGCCCCCCACATGGCATTCATAGCTTGTAACGGAGTAAATTTTTTGGTCATCAGCAAGCATTTGGTTTTCTTTTGTTATATGACTGATGTCATTAAAAACAATCAGAAACAGTAGGGGAACCAACTTAGTACCTTGTGGCACTCCCGTTTTTAGTATGTATGATTCTGATGGGAAGCTGTTATACTGCACAAATTGAATGCGTTCATACAAATTCGAACGGAAAAATATCAACAAGTCCCCGAAAACCCCAATAGCTTATTCGATCAAATGCCTTTGAGAAATCCATAAACATAACGTCAACGTCAACGTGTTGTTGATCTACAGCAGGATTTACCAACCTTTTTTTTTGAGGCTCCCCGGACTACGAGTTATATTTTCATGCCCCCTTTACCTTTTTCAATAAATACAAGAAAACGCACATTATATAGGTACAAAGACTTTTATTTTAATTCTAATAAAGAAACTTTAAAAGTTTTTATCGAAAAACTTGAATAAAATAAGAGTAGGTACTAATGAGACCCTTGAGATCGCATGTTCTCTACCAGTTGGTTGCAGTTTTTGCCAGAGGTATCATCAGGTCGCCATCGCCAGCAAGACGATTTCGCTGTTTAGTTTTAATTACAACTAGAGCAGAAAAGCCTGCCTCACACAAGTAAGTTGAAGGAGAAGGAACTAGTATTCGTAAAGCAAGAGAAGCAAGTGTCGAATTAACAGGCAATCTTTTGATCCAAAATGTCTCCAATGTTAAAAGATGGAAGTATTCTTTCATGGACGAATCAGCCTTTATTTCTAGAAATTCTTCCTGAATTTCTCCTGGTAATTATGACACATCGACAACAAATGGATTTCTTGTCATGTGCCATATTGGTGACTCTGAATTTATGTCTCGATAGTATCGGCGAAATTCGTCTTCCAGCGCTTGCAAATGAGTTTTTATGTCAGCTTTTAAATTTGCGTTGTGTATCTTAGTTTCAATTGCTTCGAACAAGATATAACATTACCAGAAGACATATTTTGATTACAAAGTTGATATGAACCCCTGAATATAATCATAATTGCTTATTATAGTGTTGTTTCTGCCCTGAAGTTTCAAGTTCAGCTCATTCAACGAGTCAAATATGTCAGTTAAATAAGCCAACCTCCATTGAAATGTGTCATCTTTGAACCTTGTCGATAAATCGTGTTTTTCTTTGCACTCAAAAAAAAAATACCTCTTCTTTCAATTCATAAAGGCGAGCCAACATGTTGCTTCTGGACAGCCAACGTACTTCTGTATGGAACAGAAGAACTTTGTGATCAGAATCGAGATCCTCGCATAGTAAAGTAAATAACCGACTGTTCAAAGCGCTGCTCTTGATGTAGTTTACAATCCTTATAGCCGAGTCCAACGCCTGGCGTAATTTCTGTGGCAATGTTTTGGAAGCCAAAGCTGAATAATGAATGTGATGAATAAAACAATGTGTACTAACCACGGTATTTTTTTCCTTGAGCTTTTTAGCTAAGCCCGATCGTACACCTATCATTGCAGGTGCGCCATCTGTGCAAAGTCCAATGAGCTTCTTCCAATCCAAACCATTCTTTTCAACAAAATTTGATATTGAATTAAATATATCTTCAGATGTAGTACCTGCTGGCAAAGATTGGGAATACAAAATCTCTTCTTGAATGATATCTCCGCCGATGTAACGAACATAAACTATTAACTGTGCACAATTAACGATGTCGGTGGATTCATCGCAACTAATGGCAAAAAATGGAGATAATTTTACTTTGTTAATTATTTGTGACTTTATGTCTGCTGCAATGCCATCGATTCTACGCTTGACTGTGTTATTCGAAAGAGGAACAGACTTCATTTTTTGCTCTGCATCTTCTCATCTTCTCTCTGCATAACTTTAGCATACATGGTTGTATTAATTCTTCATCGATAGTATGAGGTTTCTTTTGCCTTGCTATCAAAAAAGCTATTTCAAATGAAGCTTTGAAATGCTGCGATACACCTTTGTGATAATTTTCCGATTTATCCAGTCTCATCCGCTTGAGTGATTCTGCTTTGGAAGAAAAAGCTCTTTCGTCTTCAAAACCAGAGTAGGATGTTGTTGCTTCAAACGCCTTTCAAGGCGATTGGGCCTCATGCTATCATTACTTAAAACTTTCATGCATATTACACACTGAGGCAATTGTAACTCGTCTTTTTCTATGAGGGCAAATCCAAACTTAGCGTAATTTTCGGAAAACAGCTCTTAAAAATAGGACATAGGAAGTCTTCTAGAAGTCTAGACAGTCCCAAAATTACCCTACCATGATCTCTACTTTTTTTCAAATCCAGTTATTCAAAATCCACCTCCTTCAAACAGCAATATTCAGCCTATAGGGAATTCGTATATGAAAGTAAATCCCCCAGTTTCCCAACTTGCAAAAAGGATTTCGTCACGCTCTGATCGAGGTAAATATAAAATAGTGGTAGTTTTCGGTCTGCCTTAGGGGAGGTAATCTGTGCATGTGTGTACATATAGGGTTGGGGTTCATTTGAACAGGGTAGTATCTAATGAACTTTATGATTACGCCTTATTCACCTTCTTACACATTCTTTAATGCCAATGTAGGGTCCGAATGCAGGGGGATGAGTAAAATATCGTATACTCATTGACAAAAGTGTACCATACAGCATTCGAGGCGAAGATCTGTTATGTATATCTCGTATCCTAGAAGATGAATAACTGTCTTCTCAACCAAACGTCGGAACTTATTCTGGAATGTAGGGAGGCCTTAGTCGATGGTACAGCAAAGTACTATGTCTGATTAGTACCTGTACATGGACATTTTGTACAAGTCCCAGATAAGACGCTGCCCCGAGTACTGCTCACATGTTTGAGGTGCTGCAGCTTCATCTTATAGTACATATTCAATGCTATTCATAGGAGGGCTGTCCGATTGATCAATGACTTTTTTCTAACGGACAGTTTCGGGACCCTTTCGCAGACGGGTCTCTTCTACCGCTATATCAACGAACTTTGCTCCTCAGAGCTTACCTTCTCGCCAGGCTTCTGTCCCCTATCCTAACTCCCTCGAACTTTGTACTTTGTGGCCGGTACGTTCGCACTTTTGTTCTAGGATTGTGGAACAATACTGTTTAAGGTTTTTCCTGGTTCTACGAACCTTAGACAATTCATTAAAAATGTGTTTTTAAACTCCTTATACTCTACTGAGGTCTAAAGTGCTGGAAAAGTATGAGATGGGCAGCACCAAGGGTTACCTTGATGTTTTTGAAAAAAAGTCGGGGTCGGTCTACGGAACTAGCACATTTCAAAATCCTCTCAATAGTTTGGTGATCAATTATCATCGGATTGCCTCTGTGCGTCATATTTCAGGGACTACGGACTTTTTTCTACGGGTGTATAAGCATTATTGACTTTACCCGAGCCTATCTAGGAATATTTTCGTTTCCTCTGTAATGAAATTTTGCGTTGTGGTTTTTCCGGAGGTTTAGATTGGACTTTGTTATTTCAACAAGCAACGCTCCTTCTTGATTGCAGAAGAAAGTTAACTCCGGGTTCCGACTTGCAATATCCAACAAAACATATACGACTAGTCAGCGATGTGTGTTCAAAATATGGTGAAAGCACGGTCAACAATATCCGATCGCTCCCACCATTTGCACGTAACCAGTAGTCGCCTACCCTTTCAGTGTGTTGAGCTACTTTGATCATTTTGGAATAAACAATGAGCTACCTAGTCGTAAGCAATGTAAGCCAACTTAAATGAAATTATATGCAGTTGTATGCGACATGTGTTTATTTTACTAATACTAATACATACTAATAAACTTAACTAATAACTACTCGTATGTCCATTCCTACCAATCGTAGGTGTTTGAAAAATAAACAAAATTTTTCGTCAGCTACAATGGCATGTAACATACGATTTGATAAACAAAACTAAAAATAAAAAAAGCAACGCACTATTTTAAACAAAAATTTTTGGAGTATAATTGGAGTATAATTTGATACAGCCATTCGAATTCAATTGTCCAAATGTTCATCTGTAAGTCGATTAAGGTATTTGTTTTCAATCGACTTCATATTTGAAAAAGAAGATTCACACAAATAGATTGAACTAAATAACGCTTTCACTTTCAATGCAACACGACATAAAACTGAATATTTATCTTTTCTTACTGAAGGCCAGATATACTAAGTGACATATAAATCCGAACACCCAGTTTAAATGGTTTTATTTTAATAAAAGTTGGTGAATGTATTTATCTTACTGTAAATAACAAGTGAAAAAATGTTCAGCCTTATCAGTTGGACATTCTGGTTTTTATACTGCTTTTTTTTAATTCACTAACGCTCTAAAAATGAATATTTCAGCCGCAGTAAAGAATCAACGTTGGCGGATTTTGGTTCTTGACATCCTTTACGATCGGTTACGATGCCGCGAGTACGGAGACCTGTACGATTTCGTCAACTTAGTGAGTTTGATAGGGGCCATATAGTGGGACTTCGGGAAGCTGGACTTTCTTTTCGGGCAATTGCAAAGAAGTGTAGACACTGTGGTTAGGTGTTGTCAGGCATGGCTTCGAGAAGGCCGTACGCAAAGAGCAAGGGGCACTGGACGCCGCCGTAGAACAACAGACCGTGAAGATCGCCGCCTAAGATTATTGGCCTTAAGGGACCGTTTCTCCACTACCAGGTCCATTGCAAATGAATGGTTTGCAAAACACGGAAGACCTATTGGCATGCGAAGTGTTTACCGACGAATGAGAAGTTTTGGCTTGTTTTCACTGGGTCCTCCCTTTAACTCGAGAACACCGACGTAATCGCCTTGAGTGGTACAGACAACGGTCACTCTGGGATGAGGAATGGAACAGTATTGTCTTTAGTGACGAGTCTCGATTTTGTTTAGGCATGCACGATGGTCGTGCCAGGGTTAGAAGGCGACGTGGTGAAAGGAGGAATCCACCGTTTTTTGTTGAAAGACATGTTCATCACACTGTTGGAGTTATGGTTTGGGGTGCTATCGCTTATGGTTCCAGGTCACCTTTAATCTTCATCAGAGGTAACATGAACGCGCAGCGTTATATCCACGAAGTTCTAGAACCCCATCTTTTACCCTATCATGACACCCTGGCAGATCCAACTTTCCAACAAGATAATGCCCGACCACATGTTGCATGTGTCACAATAGACTTCTTTCAACATAATGATGTCACATTGTTACCATGACTCTAGAAGCACTTCGAGAGGAGTTGGTGGTTGCCTGGAATCAGATACCACAGGACGACATTGACCACCTGATCAGAAGCATGCCTAGGCGCGTTGGAGAATGCGTAGCACATCAGGGTGCATCCACACATTATTAAAGGTCAAAGGGCTTTAAAGCAGTGCAATCATTTTGAAATTTTTATCATTTACTTATTATGCTTCATTAAGTACTTATACAAAATTTTATTAAAATAAAACCATTTAAACTGGGTGTTCGGATTTATATGTCACTTAGTATACATTCTGTATTTAAGACTAATGATTTTAAAGCTAAATCATTTTGAATAGCAATCACTTACATTTCTGTCACAGCGATGTCTTCGCTAAAATTCTGCGTAACAGAAGTAGCGAACTGTTGGATATCAATTTGCATGAAGGGTGAAACAACAAATTGGGCCACTATAGCAAATTCGTTAAAATCCTTAACGATTTTTGAGTTACTCTTCAAGTTCGAGACTATTTTTACATGATATTTATTGTCATATGGTTCTAATGGACTTTGAGATATCTTTTCTGAAAGAACAGGAAATGCCTGGTATCGCCATCGATTAAGTTTTGTTCCCAAAACTCAAGCTTGTTGATGAACACTTTTATATCAGAAATCATTTCTGCTAGTTCTTTGTCTTTTCTCTGAAGCTGCAAATTAGGTTTATTTAATTTTTGTGTAATATCCACAAGAAAACAAAGATCTCTAAGCCAGATTGAATTGTCCAGTTCCGGAATCGGTTGAAAAATTGAACTGTGGCAGATATGATATCATTAAAATGTTTCAGCACGCCTTCGCTACTTAACCATCGGACTTCAGAGCGAAGAAGTAGTTCCCCGTATTAATAATCATAATAATAATAATAAATGACCTTTATTAGTCGCATGATTACAAAATAATTGGCTTAAAAGGAACAGTGACGAGAAGGTGGAGTGTCAGCTTATGCTGTTTTCCAACTCTACCTAAAAAAAATTGACACAAACTATAAAGAGGAAAAAAATACCTACATTTAAATGGCACAGTTCACAACATTGACCACCAAAAAGAGAAAAGCTTAAAATATTACACTTCTCAGAAAAAGGAAACAATCAATTACCTGTGGATATGCGTAAAGTTAAATTCTAGCCATCCGATTGCTTTAAACTCATCTTTAACCTTTTTCAATCTTTAACCTTTTTCACTTGACAAACAGTTATATAGTTTGGGAGCCCAGTACGAGAAACTACAAGTGAACAATGCTGTCGAATGCCGCGGTATAAGTAAGATGCGTTTATTCCTAGAGGATCTTTGATCGTACTGACAGAGGAGGTTTAGCTTTGAATAAAGATAATGTGGCGCTTTAAGGAGAAGGGTCTTATGTACCACAGTTAGGCAATGCAGTTTCCTCAAGTTATTCATCTTAAACCATCCCGATTGGTCAAAACCTCTACTAATATGATCAAATTTACGAATTCCATAAGAAAATCTGATGCATGAGTTTTGTATCATCTGAATCCGCTCGGCATCACGTTGTAAGAGAGCAGGTGTATAAACAGAGTCACTGTAAGATAATTTTGGCAGAATAAGGGATTCGCAGAGTTTAAGCTTGAGCTGTGTTGACAGGACATTTCGACTCGGGTATAACTGACAAAGCACATCATAGGATGCATTGCATAGTTGGTTAATATGTTTAGTGAAGCGTAGCTTGCAGTCAAACCAGATCCCAAGGTTTTTGCATTGACAGTCAATTTCGTCCGACAAGGTTTTGAATAATCTTTGTAACGCTTGAGCTCTAATCTTGGTCACAATTTTTACTA